TAAGGCATTTCCATTTGTGGAAGTTAGACGGAGAATTGGAAGTCAACCTGGGACACTAAGGAGTATAAGGTAACGTAGAGAAAAAAGAAATCCAACTGGTCATCTGGATTAAATGTTTATAAGTAGCCACAGATTTGGCACATGGCAGTTATTGGTGACCTTGACAAGGACAGTCTCTATGAAATCGTGTAGTCAAAGTCTGATTGAAGTGGATTAAGAGATCGTAGGAAAGCTGGTGGAGTCAATATCTATAAACAACTTTATCAAGAAATTTTACTCTAAGAAATGGGGCAGTAGCTGGAGGGAGATAGGGAGTCAAGAGAGGTTTTTGGTTGTGTGTGTGGGTGTGGGTGTGTTTAGAGAAAAGATGCTAGAGTGTATTTATATACTAATGAGAATGATCTGGTAGAAAGGTGAAAACTGATTATGATTATGCAAGAGAAAATATAATAATAGAAAATATCTTGAGAGGTAGAAGGGTTAGGATTCATAGTGTAAGTAGGGAGATTAGTTTTCAATAGGAGAAGACAAAACTGCAATCGGAGAGAAGACAAAATTACAGATAGGTTGGTAGATGTGTGGTAGAAAGGTAAGAATGTTACTATGTGAGTAATTCTATTTACCATTGACATAAAAGTCAATATGCAGAATAGGAAGAGTATAGATTGGAAGAGAGGTATAAGTAGTTGGAAAGGGGAAAAGTGAACTATATATACATATATATGTGTATATATGTATGTATATGTATATATGTGTACATATACACACACACACACACACACACGTGCATATATACATAAACACAGTGAGTGGGTATTTGTGTGTATGTAATACACCATGGGGGAAAAGATGTATAAAATATTTTAAAGCCATTCTTACTGAATATTTTTGAGACATCTTATTTGAAGGACCTGAAATAATTCTTTGCTTTCCGAGGACTTTAGCGTTCTCTTTTCCATAATGTAGAGATTAAGTGAGGACTTCTCAATGCCATACATACATCTCATGTTTTGTTATTTATTTTTGTCTATTACAGAGTAAAAGGCAGAAATATTTTGTAGCTATTCTAATTCAAAACCTATGAAAATTAAAATTAGTTTGATCTCAAAAGATGTGTATTATATACTCAAGCTGGCAGTTTTCTTAAAATACTTTTTTGGGAGAGTTTTGAGCCCCCATCTGAATTAAAAAAAAAAAAAAGAGGCAAACAGGCTCTAATCATTTAGTGAAACAATACTTTTGTTTTGTTTTGTTTTCATATGAAAATCATCAGGACCATCTGTCATTTAGGAGAAACACATGGGCAATATGGTTGTTTTGTTCATTGTGCCCTCTCTATCCTATTGGAAGGATGTGATCTTTTAACTGTGCTTGGATCTTTATTTCTGGATAGGATGTATGTAATTCAATGTGTTGAATGTATAGGTGCATATGGATTTGATGTTAAATTAGATTGTGATTAATGGAATAAGATTGCTCTCCATTCTTTTGCTGTTTTAGCATAGACAAAAATATAAAGATGTATGTGTATATATGAATATGTATTTGATTAAACACTTAATATTTAAATGGCCATGTCAAATATTAAATGGTAGATGTCGACAGTTGCAGTGAATTCAAAATAAAATAGTTATAAAACTCTTTGTAGCACAAATCCTAAAAAGTTTAATTTAATACTTAATAGTACATTTAAATAAAATACCTAGATAACATCTGTCTAGGTTGAGGCATTTAATCTCTCATAGAGCAATATTTGACTAATGAAAAACTGCAGCTGAAAACGTTTCTCCTTCCTATAAGTATGAATATGATTTTTAAAATGTATCTCTCTGTAACCTGTCATAAAGTTAATTATCACTAATTATGGATTTAGCAGTGTACCCATCTCCTCTTATAAAAGGGGGAAAAGATCTATTTGTGAGAATAAGGAAGTACAGCACCGTATTTTTTCTCTTTGTTATTACTGTTTCTCTTTGGTATCTATTTAGAGCTTCAATATATGCCTTCCACTCAGGTTCCTTACACAGACTATGTTCTCTTTTCTGGTTGTAAAACAAGATTATAGAGAGATAAACACAGTAAAAGGGTGTTAACAATTGAACTGCAATCCTACCTATTATCTACTTTGCTATAGCAGTGAAGTAGTCCAGACTTACTTCAAGGTGGTATTGTTTTCATCTTATAAAAATCTACTGTAATATTACAATGTTCCATGTAAATTTTCATGTGCTGGCATGCTTACAAGTAATAGTGTTATAGAATGCTCAGCTCTCAATGAGGGATTGTTTGTGGTTAATTGCATTACATACATCATCTATCTATTTGCTGAAAGAATATGGTGTTCAGCAAAACTACCTGCTGAGCGACATAATAAGATTTTTGTACAAAGTACAAATTACTAATTATTGTATTTTATTTTTCTATGATTTCCTAAGAGGCATTACCAGGGTCTTACAGATGGAGTAAGCCTGTTTATTAAAATATCTATTAGCAAATAAAAGTAACAGTTCTGGTGGTTAAATCTGTGACTTTTTTGTACTGTTGTATTGATGAATATTAAACATAATTTATTTTTTAATCTCTTAAATCTAGATGCTCTTTAGATATATAATTCTGGATGCAAAATCATAGCTGTAATTTTTCAAAATAATTAACATCATTAGTGTCATGTCATAAAATCACATAAATCACTATAAATGGATACACATTTTTGTAGTGATTTAATATTGACAAACTATTTTGTGAGCTTAAATAAATTGTTCATTGCAGAGGTAATACTGTACATAAATTGCAAATGACCAAAAAACATACATAATGTCCGACTATTCATGGCTTTATGCCTCAGCACTCATTCCAAAAATGTGCAATAAATTATGAATCAGGGATTTTCTATATTCTTTTAAAAGCTGCTGGTAAGAAAATACATAAAAAGTTCCTCAGTTAATCAGAATAGTGTTGTAGTCATCATCTTAGACTTAACTCTTTTATAATTCTTCTACTACATTTCTTAAAGCTGGTTATAAAATACCTGAAATTTCCTTCTCTTATACAAGTATTTTAAGTAGCCTCAGAAAATTACATGCCATTTTTAAAGCTTCTCACCCTTATAATAAAATGAAGACAGCCAAACTAACTTATTAAATCAAGTGGAATAATTTTTATGCTGAGCTTTTCAGTACTCAAAAGCAGTTTCAGTTCACAAAGTACCAAAACACAGATTCAACCATATGAAATATTTGTTTTTAAACTTTTACATATTCTTAAAACTAGCATTTTCTGTTATTGAGTACACTGTGGGTTTCACTATTTCATCTCTAATGATAAGCCATCACATCAACTACACATATCTAACAATTTACTTAGCTATTTTTTTGTCAAAGAATTATGTATATGGCTAAATTTACTGAAAATTTGGAAATCCAATCTCCCAATCAGATTTCTAATTTTTGCCAAATGTTTTGTACTAAGCAAAAATAGAAAACCTAAGAGCAGAAAAATACCAACTCCAAACAGGAAAAAATAAGTCTGTACACCAACATTTCCTGAAACATAAGATTTCTACTTAACTCTAAGAAAAAAAAAAGTCATATTCAGGCTACAAGGAAATCAGCTTCCAAGTCTCATCAAAATGAATCACAAATGCCTGACACAAAGAAAAGAAATCAGTACTTCCCTGAAAATGGATTTAAGTCAGAAGTTAATGAACCAGAATATTTAGGAATTGGGTCAAACCCTATCCATATAATAAAAATTTCAGGATAAAGGAAAACAGGAACTTATTTACTGACACCTACTATGTGCCAAACAACATACTTTTTAAATCTGTTCAATCCTCAAACCTACCAAATGAGATAGTGTATTTTTGAAAGTGAGGAAGCTAAAGCATGGAGAAGGGTTAAATGGCCTAAGGCCACACAGTTAGGAAGAATATATCCATACTCCCAATTTTTTTCAAGGACATTGTGAACATTTTGGAATATAGAACTATTGGGTTTTTGTTAGTTTTAGCCTTTCAAGAGTCACTTACCCAGAACCATACTCTTTTTCATTGTAAAACAACCACTGTTACAAATTTGGAAACATAACAAAAACATCCCCCTATAATCATCCACGTAAACACTCCCCTCATTAATTTTATATAATTCTTGTAGTCTCTTTTCACCGTCCTAGTCCGCTTAATAGGTAAAATTAATAGGCCAAAGATCAGTCAGGGTGGTTAAAACATAACCCTAGCTAGTGTGTATCTGTTTGGTGGAGGTGGTGGTGGTGGGGGGGTGTCCCATACTCTTGGCCGAAAAGGAAACTGTAGATGAAAATTTAAGAGGAAGGGTTTCATCCATGAAAACCACTTATTGGTGTGGGTGGTGGGAAGGGTGAGGCTAGGTAGGTTGAAAGATTATTCCAAATGTAGTCTGTCCCTTGGAAAGCGAGGTTATAAAAATGTGGAAAAATAAGTAAATCTAAATATTTTCAACTGGCGTTATCACTGCTACTATAAAATCTCAGTGCAATTTTTAAAAGGTAGTTAACGTTGAGCATTCAGACTATTCTCTTCCTGACCACCTACGGATTTGATTCTGGGGACAGTAATCTCATCACCGATTATGGCTAGTGTAAATCTCTTTAGGCGATCACACAGCTAAACCAGGGTACAGGCATACTTGCTCTGCCAAGTCACGCTTCCGACTTTTCACACCAGTGTTATCTCCACTCCCTACCCACAGTAACAGTTTTCAGGACTCCAGGGTCTGTGGCCTTAAGACCTCGGAAAGCCTCCGTGGGTGGGCAGCGGGGAAACTGGCGCACGCGTGGCCAGCTGTGTTCTTCGGCCGTTGCCACCACGCTCTGCGCGTGCCCGGTAAAAACGCAGAGGTACTTCCTCGCCCTCCCCAGCGTAATGGAATTGCAGATGTTTTCCTGAGAGTCTGAGAAAGACGTGGGCGGAAAAACGCGCACGCAGCAAACGCGACGCCAAGCATTTCCCAGCAGGCTGTGCGCATGCCTACAACTCCCATCATGCTCCATTTGGGACATCGCTTCTCTTCGCAAGAAGGCGGCCCTTCACCCCGCCACTTGTCTTCACACCTTTAATGCTCCTTGGCGTGCCTCTGACGTTCCCCGGAGGTCTTCAATCCCGTAAACAAGAGCACCAAGGCTACATTCAGAAGTTCAAGGAGGCGTGGCTTAGGGACCGGAAGAACGTCCGGTTGCCAAGGGAACCCCACGCGCCTAGGCGCCGGCCCAGCCACTGATGCTCCCACTGAGGCACAGGCAGCCGGTTCACCCAACTTGTAGAACCGGCATTGCTCAGGAGCAGGGATTCTTACAGAGGCGGCATAGAGACGAAGGCTGAGAGACGCTCGATATTTATCCCACGAACGGATACGAACGAGTGGTCGGTTCCTGTTCTTTTCAGCCCCTGGGCCCGCAGGATTAACTTCAAAAACCAGGTATGCTTCCCGCTCCCTCTGCCCTTGTTTTGTAGCCAGCGCCGTCGCCACCACCACCGCTCCTGTAGCATTTTGGAATTGCACTTTGCTCTTTACTGTTTTTCACTCCGTACCGTTGTTTCTAAAGTGTAAGAGGTGGAAAAGGACAGAGGATTTTTGCGGTTAGTACTAGGGATCTCAGAAGGCTTATGGTTTGGGCGAATTTGTTCGGTTTTATCACCGCCCAGATTTCGTGTTTTTGTTTGGTGTGTGGGAAATGTTTGAAATTTCATCCTCAAGAACAAACACGAATAAAAATGTTTGAAGTACTAAAAATGTGCTATAATTCACTCTAGGAACTTTTTTTTTTTTTTTAAGTTTACGCAGTACCATTCATGGTGTGTTTCTTTGCCCTGCTACTGTCTGCGGCTTACTACCTTCCAAGCTCTTTACTGTGGATAACATCCTAATTCTTCAAGACTTTTATGGCAGCAAGTAATCCTTTAGAAAGCAGTTTCTCAGATAACAACCAGGAGAATTTGATTGGCTGGTGCGCAGTAAAACAGTAAGATAAGAAAAAATTAGCAGAGCCAAATTGAACCCTAAAAGCTGCACGTGGACTTCGTTCTGAAAGCCAGCAGTTCTCAGTAGTAACTATACGTCAGAAATACTGTGTAGTTTTTTTAAAATACTGATGCCCTAATCCCATCACCAGAAATACTAATTCAGTAGTTGATTCCAGGGTGCAGCCAAAGTTGCGAATCATGGCTTTAGGCATAGGGAGCTACATATAAAACTTTATCTCCCATTGTGTGCAGGGGGCATGGTAAACAAATGTGGAGTGGCTTAAATTGTTATCTTTCCTCCTTTCATACATGGGAAAAGTAAAAAGTTACAGAAATGTATGATTACTAAGAAATAGAAACATATGTGTATAAGGCTATAATTAACATCTTTTAGAACAATTGACTTCTAAAGTGTATGTCCCAAAATATTTCATTAACAAGCATTAGTTTTAATAATCCATGAAAAAGGGCTGGAAAATCACAATCCAGTGTTCTTTGGAAAGTGAATATTCAAGTATCAAGTGTTTGACAGTCAGTGCTTTCTAGTGGATGCCCAGAGGATGATGATGTGAGAAGTGGTCATTTTTTTAAAAAAATTTGTTCAAAATTGTATGGAAAATGGAAAACAAGATTTTTTTAACAAGTTAACGTATAATGTATTATTTGCTTCAGGAGTGAGATATTATCTTTTTATCAATATGTTCAGTACAATAAATAACAAAGTGAGGATAGCAAATCTACTTTTGAATTAATGTAGTCTTTGTAAGTTATTTCATGGTTTAGAAGGCTAACGTATTGTCGATTCTACAAATGTTCCTTAAGCTGAGATTTAAAGGAACGGATTGAGTGAGATTTGAATCTCCAACACAAGGAGAAAAGTGGTACAAATGGAGAACCTGAAATCAAACCCATCCCTTAGATAAGACAATTGTGAATCTCTTATAGGCCCCATGGTCTTGTGGGGCACTGTGCCTGCCCTTTTCTGCACATCATTGAAATTTGGTTTATGAAATTTCTCAGTATGCTCCCCCAAGGGGCCTAAGCAAAAATCCACGATGCCGCTTCCTTTTGTGAAACATTGTCTTGGAAACATCATCATTTAAGTTGCTGCAGCTTCACATCCTTCAGGGTATGGGCCTTGCTTAGGATAGTGTGAGGTAAAAAATACTGAAGGAGTTGCGGGATGACAGGCTCCTGGAACTTTAGATGGAGAGGAGAATAAATCAATCAAATTAGGTGAATATTTAGAGAACTTTGAAAATGGTGGTTAGGAGAGTAATGGGAAATATTTTGGACGTAGGCAGATTGTAGTCATTGCTGTAGCAGTCCCTGCACCAGTTGAGTGCTGGCAACAGGGATATCTCTCTTCTCCCATGATAATGTTTTGGGGAGTGATGGACCCAAGGGGAACCCCTTTGCAAAGTTTCATTTGGAAAGTTCATAGCAGGTTATGAGCAAGTGATATTTGTAGCAATATAGTATATATTAAAGTAAATATATCTGTTAATATTTGTTTTGCTTGATAGAAAATGCAACTTAAACCAGATATAATCAAGCAAACAAACAAAAACAGTGAATTTAATATTTATTGCTTCAGATTATTGCATAGTACAACAATGGGGTTGGCTTCAGAAGATTTATTTAGCTCAAATAGTGTAACCAAAATCTTAGTTTTTCTCATTTCTGATCTGCCTTCTATTTTCTGAACTTCAGCATTTGGTTCTACATGGACTCCTTTGCCCATACATTGTTCCGGATTTCTAGAAAGGCTGCAGATACTTTGAAGATCACAAGTGGCAGACTCCATGTGATACTGAGTTTAACAATATTTTCATCTTAAATATTATAATTTACCAGAAGACACATACAGCTATTTCAAGGGCATTGCTCTTTGTGTTGCCTAGGGATATAAGCTGCCAATCTGCATTTCAGATAAGGCTCCTTTGTGCTAATCAGCTTAAACTTTGTTTAGTAAATACAATGCTACATTAACATGGCTTTTCTGATTGTGTCTTTAAATTATTAATTTTTTTTATGATCATGCTTATATTTTCCAGACCTAAGTTGCCTGTGATTGATATATCTTTTTTACTTTTTAATTTGTAGCTGGTTTGTAAATATTTGAATCACATTATGGGATTGCTAGACAGACTTTCAGGCTTGCTTGGCCTAAAGAAGAAGGAGGTTCATGTTTTGTGCCTTGGGCTGGATAATAGTGGCAAAACAACAATCATTAACAAACTTAAACCTTCAAATGTAAGTATCCTTGTTAGATGCTTTATGTATTTTCTGTTAGAGTAAGTTAACATGCAGAATTATTTTGTTTGCCATCATTACTTCATATAGTCATATTTTGAAATCCTATTAACCTTGTAGTACCTTAAAGTAATAAATGTCAATCAGACATAATTTACAGTGTATTTTTGCAGATATACAGGTGAGTCTCGATTATTTAAGCTGGAATATTTTCCAAATGTCTTTTTTTTTTTTTTTCTTAAAAAATCCTAACAAATTTGTGAAATTCACTTTTAGGTAGCATTGCTTTCTTTTTGGCTCCCTCTTTACAAGAGAAACAAAACAGAGGGAATGGTGAATCATTTTTATGGGTTCAGTGGATAATTAGGAGCTTCCCAAGAGTATATCAGTGATAGTAAGCAGAATGACTTTAAGTCATTTAAGTAATAAGTATATGAACATGTAATTTTAATAATTGAAAAATAAGTAAAGCTAGCACATTCAACACATGGTACATAGAAGTTGGGTTTTTGCTACATAAAAAGAAAACCCTCATAACAGTAGACTAAATAAGATAGAACCTTCTTTTTCTAATCTAAGTAAGTCCAGTGGAGGTCTTCCAGGGCTGGTAGTGCAGCTATGTAGTCAGTCATGAGACATCTAGGCATCTTCTATCTTCCTGTCTTGCTGTTCTAAGTGCTCCGTTTTCATCTTCAAGATCTTCACATGGTCACCTTGGTTAACTGTATTCTAAGTCACAGGGAGGAGAAAAGAACAAGGCAAAAGAAGATGCCCACTTGTTAAATAAGCCTTCTTTAAAGAACTTACCCAGAAGCACCAAGTAATGATTCCTAACTTCTATCTCATTGGCTACCCCTATCTGTAAATGAAGCTGGATTTTTTTTTTTTTTTTTAAAAGCAGGTCATACTGCTGCTTCCAAAAATAATAGGGGTCTTATAAGTATGGAAGAAGAGGAGGATGGATATTGGATAGACAACATTTACAGTTGTAAATACACTTATTTAGGCAAAAGCCATTAGTGAATTAATGAAAAATGTAGAGTGAAAAAATAATATAAACTGCATACAGATAGGGCAGAAACTAAGAAGCTGATACTGTTAATGACTAAATGGCTAGAGAATGGGAAATAATTGCTCCTAAATATGGTAGTTGCCTCCAGACAGTGTTTTGGGTTGGGCAGAATAAGCAGCCTTACTACTCCATTTTCTTTTGCAGTAGCTTCAGTTTTACCTTTGGAGATTGCTCTGAAATACAAAAACACCATTATTTCTTTTTTTTTCCCCCCCGGTCATTATTCCCTTCTACATAGAGGCGTTTACCACATAAGAACAGCTAACTGCTGGTGTATTTTCAGGTGGGAGTTAGTGTGAGATGGTCAGGATAAGAAACTGAAAATGGATTTAGAAGGCAATTTAGGTGCTTTAAGGAGTTCCTCAGCTGAATTGGGAGTCAGCTGAGGTATGCATGCTGAAGTCAGGCAAAGATAAAAAATATCAGCTTTATTTAATTTTGGAAGGCAAGGGTTAGGTCTGTTTAGAGGACTTACTAACACTCTATTGTATTGAGATTGACCTCCCAAAACTTTGGGGTTTCCTCCTTGGGGAAAGATCCTACTCTTCTAGAGTCATTTCTTGGCTAAGATCAGATGAGAGTGCGTGCTTGTGAGAGGCATATGGCACTCAAATGAGAGAGTAGAGAGACACAGAACCAAGAATGCTCGGTTCTGTCCCACAAACTGAACAAAGGAGTAATTCTCTACCCATGGAGAGGAATAAATTGAAGGAGGTGAGTTAGAGAAATACCATTTAATGAAGTTTTTTCTATATGTGAAATAGGGAAAAAAGGTTAAAAAAGCCCACATACATTAGAAATCTATCTCCTGATCTAGGTGATTACAAGAAATTTATCCGTTCTTAAAAGGGAGATAAAGCATCCTACACAGTTGAATGGGGTCCAGAATTGAACTTAAGAGAACAGTGAGTATATGTTTAAAGTAGAACCATACCCAGTTGTGCTTTGGCCCATAATCAGTACTGTAGATCACCTATGAGCAGATCAGGCTGGGTTAATGCTTAAGAATCTCAGTGACTGATGACCTGAACTTCTGTAGGTAAACCTATCAGCAGTAAGCAAGAGTATAAGGAAGTATTTTTAGGTAAGGGCCTATTCTATCAGAGGGGTTTACATTTTACATTTTTCTCTACATTAAGGAATTGCCTCAAAAGTAAAAAAAAAAATAAAATAAAATAAAAAAAAAAATAATAATTTTTTAAACTAGTCTTGGGTGGCTATGGGTTAAGTGTCTTGATGCTTGATTTCAGCTGAGGTCCTGGGATTGAGCCCTCTGTTGGGCTCTGAGCTCAACACGGAGTCCGCTCCAGATTCTCTCCCTTTCCCTCTGCCCCTCCTCTCTCTCTCTCTCTCTCTCTTGCTCAAATAAATAAATAAAATCTTTAAAAAAAAAATTACTCTCAAATAGGTAGAAAATAACTGAAACCGGAGCCACCATTAATAGCCACAAAATGGTGCCATGGTGGCTCAGTCAGTTAAGCATCTGACTCTTGTTTTTTGCTCAGGTCATGATCTCAGAGTCGTGGAAGTGAGCTCCATATTGGGCTCTGTGCTGAGCGTGGAGCCTGCTTGGGATTTCCTCTCTCCCTCTCCCACCCCCTCACTTTTCATTCTCTTAAAAATAATATATAGCCACAAAATGGACCAGTTCCCAATGTGTGCTGTACTCAAATTGGCAGAAATAACATTCAAAAAACAACATAGAAATTACAGTCTCTTTCCATCATCCCCAATATTATAGTGATTTTCCAAGACATGGTTATTACCATAGAAATAATCTTGGATATGAATGGGAATACCTTTCTTCTCTGAACAAGGATGTACTTTTAAAGACATTTGCTCTTATTTTTTAACCTACTTAGGGATTTTTTTTTAATAATTTCTTTTGTCAGGTCTAGGGATTTGGTTCAGAAAGAGGAGATACCATGTACTCTGTGATCTTAAAATACTCTAATACCCCCATTTCAGACTGGCCTTGTGACCTCTTAACCCTGTCTAATGCACCACGTTAGTTAGGGAGAGCCCGCAGGAAAACCTGGGTACACAGCCAATAAATAAGGCTTTTTAATTAATCTTCCAATGCTTTGCAGCATCCCTGTTTCTCTATTATCTCTGGTAAATTATGGAACTAGCCTAGACTTGCTATAGGGCTGTTTTAAGGGGATCACCTATTTTCTGATACCACTTCCTGAGACTTAATCTTTAGTCTTTAGTCAATTATCCTGTCTCCACAGAAAAATTGACCTCTAGATCCTGAGAGCACAGTAAGTTGCTTTGCGTTTTTTTTCTGTTTTATTTTGTTTTGTTTTTGTTTTTAATTTGGTGCTGATAGCCAAAAGACCACTTGAAATAGAATTTCTTAAAGACGTCAAAACTTCTATCACACAGGTATAGATAAAACACTTGTTTCCTCCATGTATCTGAACTGAAGAAATCTTTTGTGAACTTACATCCACTATTAGAAACATAATTTTTAATGAATTAAGTTAATTACAGAAATCTACAATGCAAAAAAATTCACATAACTCATTTTATAGTTATGTCTCTTATTTTTTGTGGGTAAAATCAGTTTCTAGATAACTAGATACTTCTGGACCCAAACTGGCTTTAGGCTATCTTAATGCTTATTTATTGTCAATGTATTGAGGTTGCTGGTGTTTTCTAAACTGATGAATGAGGGTGGGGAGGCATTTTAACCTGATGACTCAAGAATCTGGTCTTAAGTGTATTTTCTTAGAAATGTACCCTATAAGTACCTTTTTTTCCCAATTTGCATTACCTCCCTTTGCCAGCATAAATCCTGTCATACTACCACATCATCCAGATTTATGTTTTCTCCCTCTCCCTCTACCCATCCTCCTGCTGATGTGTACTCTCTCTCTCTCTATCCTTAAAAGAAAAAAAAAAAGTGATGGGAAGAAAGTTGATTAATTTTATCCTTGTTAAGTAGAACAGCAAGTTAAAGGAGAAGCTCTGGAAACAAAAAAAGTCTGTGAAGAAGTTGGGTGATTGTGGAGAGGCTAGGCAAGTGTTCTAATTACAGTTCAGTGAAGATAAGGCTACTATTTTGGGGTACATTTTCTGAGATTTCTTTAAACATTTAATTTCCCCACTTTTTTATTACTAGTATTTTTTGCTAATAGTAGTAGCTGGTGATTTTATCATAATTGTGATCAAAATCAAAAGTCAAAACAGTGGAGTATTTTGGGACAACAAAAGTTAGGAAACTATTCCAAAGTTTTTTGTGCAGTGAAGAAACCGTACCATAAGGACTGAGGCAGGAATCTGAATGGCAGGAAATAAATTCTAACATAAACAGAATGATATTTTTGGAAGAATAAGGCAGCTCACAGGATGGAAAGAAAAGCTGAATAAACAAGCTTTAGAAAGGCAAAACCAGGCATCTCCAGGGAGGCCTTTTCACTACTACATTACTTCTAAGGTGATTAAGTTTCAGTGACTTTTCAGCTACTGTCTTTTCATTTGAATTTTAAATTTTCAGAAGTGGACTACCAAATTGAACATAATGGTTTGGAGCAACAATTTACCTTCTACTCCTGTTTTCACACAAATGCAACATGATGAACTAAAGGTTTTTTTGTTTTTTGTTTTTCTTTTAAAGTTGTACTGTGGCTGTATAGAGAAAATTGGAAAGACTAAAGTTAATGATAGTATACTTAGGGTATTTGTTTAGTATTTGCTGAATATGTCCAATGGACCAGATACTGTGTTGAGTATATTGCATTCAGTAACTCATTTAATTATCATGATAACTTTACAAGTTAAAGATAATAATAGATTTCACATTTGAGAAAACTAAGGTTTGGAGAAGTTGAGTAGCTAGTGTAAGGAGGCACGTTAACGATTAGGAGTAATTAGAAGGTTTTTGTAGTAAATCAAAGCAAGAAATGATAAGGGCCTTAACTAAGTGAGATAGGACCAACTTGAGAATGTTTATATAAAAAATATAAGAAAAGGAGGAGTCAAGAATAACTCATAGGTTATCAGAAAGTAGATGGTGTTTTTTATTCAAAAGGAGGAATAGTTTTGATGGTGGAAGTATTAGGAGGCATTTGATGTCTTGTCAGTTTAAGGTGTTTTAATTGCCTGTGGGACTTGCTAACAGATCTCCTGGTGTACTCTTGCCCCCTTGTAATCTCTTCTCCATACAGAATTCCCCACCATGGCCTTTAAGGCTCCACGGCTCTTTGTTACATATAGCTGTCTGCCTTAGTACATTTTAGACATACAGGCCTTATACTTTGCCTGAGTGGCAAGTTCCTGCTTGCATTAGGATCATTGTACTGGCTAATTCCTTTGACTGGAATGTTCTTTACCAAGATCTTGTCATAACTTTTCTCCTTTTTAATATTCACTCTTGGGTCAGATATGACCTCCTCAGAGAGACTTTTTCTCAGCATCCTTTGCCCATGCCCCAAACCATCCCTCCTACCCCACTGCCTCCCATCCCCAATTCACCTTTCACTGCACCTAACACTGTCTGAAATCATGTTCACTTGTAGTTTACTTGGTTACTGTTGTTTACTTTCTCTAGATAATAAGCTCCATGAAAGCAGGGACCATGTAGAGTCACCATCTAGACATGAGAACAGTCTGCAGTAGCATATATAAACTCAATAAGTATGTGGTGAAAGATTATAAAGTCCTATATGTGAACTCAGAATGACTCATGAATCCACATTACAGCTATGGGAACTTGCAGCAAGCCACAAAATGTGAATTAAGACATAAACATTTCATAATTAATAAACCTTAAACTTCTGTAAAGAATTCACACACAGTGATCCCACTGCAAAAATTATAGTTTTGTTTAATTGTCATCTCCTCAGTGACAAATTTTAGAATTGGAAACCTGGATGCTTTTTTTAGCCCAAGGGAAAATTCATGTTTTGTAGTTGAAGATTTCTCAATTTATCTTTTCTCTTGAAGGCTCAATCACAAGATATAGTTCCAACCATAGGATTCAGCATAGAGAAATTCAAATCATCCAGGTAATTCACTTTATTATACTTGTGACTAAGAAGTTGTGGGTGAAAAGTGATAATATTAGATCTACCTAGTCATTCTTTCTACTCTTAGAAAAAGTAATTTGTTGTTTCAGAAGTCCATAGATGGTAAATTATTTGTACCACTACCTCTGCATTATTTTTTAGAATTTAGACTTTAGACAAACTCTGATAATCTCACTAACAAGGAAAGCATCTTTTTTTATGTGTTATTCATTACAAAATCATTTATATTATAAAATTTGTTTTGTGGGACTCATACTTGAAAATTGGCTCAAGTTGAATATTGTATATTCAAGGGTAGTTTCTTTGAAAACAATTTAAAATTTTAAGTAAAAGTGATACCTTAATTTAGTATCTTATAATGTAGTCATGGTTTGTTTTGTTTTGGTGTTTTTTTTTTTTTTTTTTTTTTTTTTCTGTAGTTTGTCTTTTACAGTGTTTGACATGTCAGGTCAAGGAAGATACAGAAATCTCTGGGAACACTATTATAAGTAAGTATGTTTATAAGTGTTGGTTAACTAGGTGAATGCATTTTAATAAAAATGATTAACAAATTCAAAGGATTACATGGGCTAGGTGTCACTATTTATTTTTCATATAATTTAAGCACATTTTCTAATGAAAAAGTGAAAATGTTTTCTAATGAAAAAGTATAATCATAGTTCATATTGTTTCTCAGATTCTTCAGGCCGTTCATGACCTTGCGTCTTTGCATATACTTTTCTCTCTGTTTTTAATGCCCTGTTCTATTTTGTTGCAGTTTAAAGTTAATATAGTCATGCTTTAGGGTTAACTCAGAAGTCACCTCCTCTGTGAAATTCCACCATTTTGCCTAGTTACTCTATTCCCAGTGTCCACACAGTATTTTACCATACTATTTATGTCTTCAAGTCGTGTACCATAGCTACCTCTCTAACGTGAACTGCTCAAGAGCAGGGATTATTTCTTATTCAGGTTATTTCTTCAAGGTCAAGTATGATATCAGACATATAGATCAGTAAGTATTTATTAAACAAATTTAGTTAAAATAACAGTAGTAACTAACAGTTGATCCATTTGTTCTAAAAGCAGTTCTAAACAAGTATTTTTCAGCATATGCTAATAAAGTGCTCACTAGTTACTTCAGATTAAGAATGGTCAAGTTCCTAGTACCCAGATTATTTTGCCCTCTCAGGATTTGTGTGTGGTAGTAAAACGAATTCATTAATTGTTCGTATTGCAAGGACTCTTCATGTAAAAGCAATGTAACTTACTTTTGGAGTCTGAAACTTACCACCAGTATCCCTTGACTAACTGCCCTTCTGTCATTAGGAATTCTTGCCTTGGAATGGTTATGAGATGACTGCCAGGTCAGATTTTAATTTTTATTGAATAGTTCTTTCCTGCTAATGTGAGAACAAACCTTGTGTTTCCTCAGCCAAAGGAGATTTTTTACAGATATTCTTTTCAATGAGTGCTTTAATAGATTGAAATCATGTTTAAATTGTACAGATCTAGAGGACCTCTGAGATACAGAGAAAAGAGTTCTTTAGATTTGAGAGTCAGTTTGGTAAAGGAAAAGTGGCATGTTTATGGTACCTTACATTAAATTCTCTGGGGAAATGTGAATTGTTTTGGAGGGTTTTTTGGATTTTTTTTTTTTTTTTTTTTTTTTAAGAAACCTGAGTTTTCAGTTTAGGATTTTTTTTTTCTTCCTCCAGTTAGTTGATAATTCTTTTTTATTTAAATGTATTTATTTTAGCTACTATTTTAAAAATAACATTTATTTTAATTACAGATAACAAAAACACATAGAAAATAGTTTCAAGAAAAGGAACCGTTTCAGATTTTAATTCCTTTTCCTTCAAAACCTTACTGGAAGAAATTAATTAGGAACGCTGTAGCTAAATTGTAGGTTGAATAGTGAATATGGTTACTATGGAGACATCTACAATAATAGACTATATCTATCTTTTTCTAATTATGAAAGAACAAGTGCATTTTAATCGATTAGACCGAAAGAGGTTAAAAAGATTAAGTCTACTATGGCAAAATAAGTCACTTTTATGGTGGGAATGTAACATCTTTTTCAGAGAAATTTATCAGTATCTTTTAAAATGAAAAATTTTCTTGCTCTCTAGCCGTATTTTTTTTCCTTGAAGAAGTATCCTATGACTAGCACTTGTGGACAAAGATATAGATAGAAGAAAATGTTTTGAACACTGTTTATAATGACATATCTCAATTATAAAAAGAATATTACTACTATTAACAAAAATATGTACTTGGTATATATAGAGAAGAAAAATGATTTAGTGGCATATGCACCAAACCATTAATAACATTTGTTTTTGGAACACTAAGATTTGAAAGGAAGTTTACTTTGTTATTTATTTGATACTGTAACTTTGATTATTATATAATTATTGCTATTATCTTTATAATATGAAAAATAAAGTATAAAATATAAGGAGTACACATTTTTTAATATTTAGAAAAAATAGAAAAGAATATAAATTTTTTTTCTATAAATCTCACTACTAATAAATTTACCATTGTTAATCTTTTTGTGTTTTTCCTTTTGAAATATAAAATATATACTTTACATAATTGAGAAAAGAGCCTTCTAAATTATGTACCACATACAGTTTTTTACCCTGTTTTTTAAGATAACATTCAATGATCAGAATAAATCAGGAAAAACATACAAAGAATATAACTAATGACTGGCTGCTTATAATTTTTTCATATGCCTATGCCTATTTTTTAATCATTCTGTTTTTGGACATAAAAGCTATTCTCAGTTGTTGAAGATTATAAATAACCCTCCAGTTAACACACCTTGCTGCATAAATCTTTGTCATAGTTCATGTTTCCTTAGCATAAATTCCGGAAATGTAATTACTGGCTCAAAGAGATTGAACATTTTTTAAACTATTGGCAGATATTTCCAACCATATCTGTTTCTGTGGCTACAGGTAATGTATGACTGGTGATAACCTATATTCATTTTTTTTAAATGATAGGAGAAAATGGTACTCAAAAGTGTTTTATTTTTATATTCATGTAATTGCTAATGATACTGAACTTTTAAATTCTTAGTTTGTGAATGGAATAAGTGATTCACAGAAATAGGTAAAAGGCCCAATAAATATATGCAAAGATAGTGAACTTTACGAGCAATTAATGAAATACAGTATAAAATATTATGTTGGGGGCGCCTGGGTGGCTCAGTGGGTTAAAGCCTCTGCCTTTGGCTCAGGTCATGATCCCAGGGTCTTGGGATCGAGCCCCGCATCGGGCTCTCCGCTCAGCGGGGAGCCTGCTTCCTCCTCTCTCTCTGCCTGCCTCTCTGCCTACTTGTGATCTCTCTCTCTGTCAAATAAATAAATAAAATCTTTAAAATAAATAAATAAATAAAATAAAATATTATGTTGTTAGAATGACAAAAATGGAAGAGGATGTTAAGAGCCGTGCTGGAAAGGGGGTGAGAGAAGTACTGGTAGTATAAATTGTTAAAGTATTTCTGGAATACAGTTTGTCAATGTTTACCTAAAACTTTAAATTTTGTATGTATTCCTAGAAATTCCTAATTACAAGTCTTAAGATATCTAGAAATTTAAAAGATGTATTTAGGAGGATTTTTATTCCAAAGTATTTCACAGTAATAAAAATTAAAAATAATCTCTAGGTTCACAGTATTTGATGACATATCCATGCAATGGGATATTTTATAATCATTAAAAGAAAGGTGCAGAAGGAATCAGTGATTTTTTTTAAGTACCACTGTGATCTGTAAATGAATCCTTAAGCCATTTCAGTGGCTGGTTTTCAGCTTAAAAAAAATGAAATAGAATAAAATAAAAGCTATTTGTAAGTATTATTTCTGGAAACTTATTTCAAATGTAGTTACGTATACTTATGTGTTTACTGCATCCTAATATAAAATGTATTTTTCACTATGGTTATGGTAAGAAGTATTTGAGAAACACTGGTGTAGAACTTTAATGTTTCATTAAAAAGTAGTTCAAACTATACTGCAAAAAAAGATCAAGGAAATGTATGTGAGAAAGGCAGGGTATAAAACAACAAGATTCCATTTAAGTACAAATGTAGGTACTCCTATGTGAATATACAGAAAAAAAATGACAAAATTGATCTACCCAAGAATATTAATAATGATTGCATCTGTGTAATAGGATTATAGTTTTACTTATAATTTTTAAAAATTATGAAACAAGCATTAAATGTACCATATTATCAACCAACCTAAAAGAAATTATTTTATATGAAATATGACTAATGGTAACGTATTAGTCACTCATATAAACTAATACGTAATGAAAAGATAATAAAGAGGGTAAGAAATGCAAATGAGTGCAAACGTGGAAAAATGTATAAATTTACCTTTAATTTTTCTCATTCTTTATACAGAGAAGGACAAGCCATTATTTTTGTCATTGATAGTAGTGATAGATTAAGAATGGTTGTGGCCAAAGAAGAACTTGATACTCTGCTAAATCATCCAGGTATGTGTGTCTGTGATATCTGTGCTTTAGGGTCTGTTTATATAAGTTTTTTTTTTTTTTTTTTGCTCTTTGGTATTGGCAGAAGTGTTCTATGTAGTTCTCTCTTATTTAAAATTTTAAAATTTTTCTTACTGAAACATAATTAACATACAGTGTTCTGTTAGTTTCAGGTATACAATATAATGATTCAACAGCTCTGTACATTAATGAATGTATTACTCCCCTTTGTTTTTGAATTTTAAAATACAGTAATTACTCAGAATTCATATCTACCGATAGCATCTTGTATTTTTTAAATTTCAAAGCAGTGTTTTCCAGATCTCCAACCTTTATTTTCCCCAAAATTAAAATGTTCTTCTGATTGCATAAGTAATATGTGTCAATAGCAAAAAATGGAGACAGGAAAAAAAGAAAGAAGTAAAAATCCATGTATTTCAACTGTCATTAGAATTATTTTGGTTACTATGTTTGCAGACATGTATATATATGCAGCATTTCTTAAATATTTATTCGAGAACTCTTCTAAAACAGATATTTTCTGCATTTATTTATTAAGGATTTTATTTATTTGTCAGAGAGAGAGAGAGCACAAGCAGGCAGAGTGGCAGGCAGAGGCAGAGAGAGAAGCAGGCTCCCGGCTGAGCAAGAAGCCTGATGCTGGACTCGATTCCAGGACTCTGGGATCATGACCTGAGCCAAAGGCAGATGCTTAACCAACTGAGCCACCCAGGGGCCCCTCTTTTCTGTTTTTAAACTCTAACTGCCAGCCCTACCCTCTTTTCAAAATACCAGTATTAACAATTTGGTATTTTTTTCTTGTTATTACTTACTAATTTGGGGTCATATTCTCTACACTCTTCTGCATCTGCCTATTCTTGGAGAACACTAAATGCCAGAAATCCTTTTTTTTTAAAAGGATTTTATTTATTATTTATTTGACAGACATTGCTCACAAGTAGGCAGAGAGGCAGGCAGAGAGAGAGAGAAGGAAGCAGGCTCCTTGCTGAGCAGAGAGCCAGATGTGGGGCTCGATCCCAGGACCCAGGGATCATGACCTGAGCCGAAGGCAGAGGTTTTAACCCACTGAGCCACCCAGGCGCCCCTGGAAATCCTTTTAAGTCAATGCATATATGTAATTATTCTTTTTAATAGTGACTAATATGCTGTACTATGAGTATAGCGACCATTTATTCTATTTTACCTATTATTGGATATTCTTTTTTTTCTCCACAATACATTTCTCCAGTAAGTATTGTGGAACTCTGCATTTCTAGCTTTATTCATGGGAAAAGATTTAAGTGGTCTTTGTGCTATGACTTTTAGGAAGAGGTGATGGTTTAAAAGAAGTGTGTATTTGTTAGGAATAGAATAGAAATAGTGTGAGGCTTTCTAACAGTTCTTCCTGTTTAACCACAATAACTGTTAATTTTATTGAACACCCTTAAGCTTATTCATATATTTGGGGTAATAATTATCTAGCCTGTACATTTTATGTGACTCTTTCACTTCTAAAAACTTAAGTCTTTAAATGGGTTATCTGGATTGAGAATGCATTTTTGATCATGCATTCCCTTTGTGTTAATCTTTCCACTTTTCTTCAAAAACTGTTAAAATGTTGCCAAAAAGATGAAATGATTCCTACAAAATCAGCTTCAAATACAATGGAAACCTTGGTTTCCTTAGCTGAAGCCTTGTCCAAGTAAGTTATCTTTATGTACTGATGAATTTATTTTGGGGGATAGATTCCCAAGGAAGGATTTCTCAGCTGAGGTATATGTGAACTTTAAAAATTTTTTAATTTAATTTTACTTTCTTACTGAAATATGGTTGACATACAATGTTACATTAGTTTCGGGTATATAATATAGTGATTTAACAGATGTATATATCATGTGGTGCTTACCATGATTAGTGTAGTTACTGTATGTCACCATACAAAGTTATTACAATATTATTGACTATATTCCCTATGCTGTACTTTTTATCTCAGTGACTTACTCATTTCAGAATTAGAAGTCTGTACCTCTTAATCCCTTCACCTATTTCACCCATCCCTCCCACCCTGTCTCCTCTGGCAACCACCAGTTTGTTCTCTATATTTATGAGTCTTTGTTTTGTTGTGTTTTTATTTATTTGTTTTGGTTTTTAGATTCTGGATATAAGTGAAATCATGGTATTTGTTTTTCTGTGACTTATTTCACTTAGCATAACACTCTCTAGGTCTATCTACCTTGTCACAAATGGCAAGATCTTGTCCCTTATGGCTGAGTAATATTCTCTTGCTTACCACATCTTCTTATCCATCTGATGATGGACATTTAGGATGCTTCTGTTTCTTGTTACTCTAAATAATGCTGCAGTACATATAGGGGTGCATATTTCTTTTCAAAATCGTTTTTGTTTTCTTGGAATAAATACCCAGTACTGGAATTATTGGCTTGTATGGTATTTCTAAGAATTTTAATTTTTTGAGGAACCTCCATACTGTTTTCCATAGTGGCTGAACCAATTTACATTCCCACCAATAGTGCATTAGGGTTCCCTTTTCTTTACATTCTCACCAACACTTGATTTTCTTGTTTTTTTGATACTAGCCATCCTGACTGGTATGAGGTGATATCTCACTGTAGTTTTTGTTTGTATTTTCCTGATGATTAGTGATACTGAACATCTTTTCTATTTGCCATCAGTATGTCTTCTTCAGAGAAATATCTTTTCAGGTCCTCTGCCATTTTCAAATTGGATTATTAGTATTTTTTGGTATTTAGTTGTATGAGATCTTTATATATTTTGGAAATTAATCTCCTATCAGATATATGATTTGGAAATACTTCCTCCCATTCTGTAGGTTGCCTTTTCATTTTGTTGATAGTTTCCTTCACTGTGTAAAAGCTTTTTAGGTTAATGTAGTACCAGTAGTTTATTTTTCTCTTATATCCCTTGCCTGAGGGAAAAATGTTGCTACAGCTGATATCCAAGAGATTACTATGTTTTCTTATTGGAGTTTTATGGATTTGGGTCTTACATTTAGGTCTTTAATCCATTTTGAGTTTATTTTTATATATGGTGTAAGAAAGTGGTTCAGTTTAATTCTTCTGCGTGTAGCTATCCAGTTATTCCAACAGCATGTATTGAAAAGACTGTCTTTTCCCATTGTATTTTCTTGCCTCCTTTGTCGTAGATGAAGTGAACATATAAGCATGGGTTTATTTCTGGGTTCTCTATTCTGTTTCAGTGATCTGTGTGTCCATTTTTGTACCAGTGCAATACTATTTTGATTACTATAGCTTTGTACTATAGCTTCATATCTGGGATTGTGATACCTTCAGCTTTGTTCTTCTCAAGATTGCTTTGGCTATTTCGAGTCTTTTGTGGTTCCATACAAATTTTAGAATTATTTGTTCTATTTCAGTGGAAAATACTACTGGTATTTTGATGGGAATTGCATTAAATCTGTAGGTTCCTTTGGGTAGTACGGACATTTTAACAGTATTCTTCGAATCCATAACTTAGTGTATCTTTCCATTTGTTTGTGTTGTCTTCAGTTTCTTTCATCAGTGCCTTATAGTTTTCAGAGTACAAGTCTTTTACCTCCTTGATTAAGGTTATTCCTAGGCATTTTATTCTGTTTGGTGCAGTTGTAAATGGGATTGTTTTCTTAATTTCTCTTTTTGCTGCTTCATTATTGGTGTATACAACAAATTTCTGTTTATTAATTTTGTATCCTGTAACTTTATTGAATTCACTTATTAGTTTCAATAGTTTTTGGTGGAACTTTTGGTTTTACTATATATACTATGTTATTTGTAAGCAGTGAGTGACAGTTTTACTTTTCTCTGCCAGTTTATATACCTTTTATTTCTTTTTCTTGTCTAATTACTGTGGCTACAACAGTAACCACAATAAAAGTGGCAAGAGTAGATATCATTGTCTTGTTCCTACTTTTAGAGGAAAAACATTGTTTTCTACCATTGAGTACTATATTAGCTGTGAGTTTTTCATATGTGGCCTTATTATGTTGAGGTATGTTCTCTCTAACCCCACTTTGTTGAGAGTTTCTTATCATAAACTGATGTTATATTTTGTCAAATGCTTTTTTTGCATCATGTGGTTTTTATCCTTCATTTTGTTCATAGGGTATATCATGTTGATTTACTTGCTAATACTGAACCATGCTTGCATCCCTGGAATAAATCTGACTTTACCATGGTGTATGATCCTTTTAATGTATTGTTGAGTTCGATTGGTGAATATTTTGTTCAGGATTTTTGCATCTATGTTCATCAAGAATACTGACCAGTAATATTTTTTAGAGTGTTTTGTCTGGTTTTGGTATCAGAGTAATGCTGGCCTTTTAGAATGAATTTGGAAGGTTTCTTTCTTCTTCTATTTTTTGGAATAGTTTGAGAAGGGTAAGTATTAACTCTTCTTTAAATGTTTGGTAGAATTCACCTGTGAAGCCCACTGGTCCTGGACTTTTGTTTTTTGGGAGTCTTGTTTTTGATTCAATTTTATTACTAGCAGTCAGTCTGTTCAGATTTTCTGTTTCTTCCTGATTCTGTCTTGGAAGATTGTATGTTTCTAGGAATTTATCCATTTATTCCAGGTTGTCCAATTTGTTGGTATATAATTTTTCATAGCAGTCTGTTATAATCCTTAGTATTTCTGTGGTTCTTCAGTCTTCTCCTCTTTCATTTCTGATTATATTCATTTGGGTTCTTTATGTCTTTTTTCCTGGATGAGTTGGCTAAAGGTGTATCAGTTTTATTTATATTGGTTTCATTGATCTTTTCAGTTGGCTTTTTAGTCTCTATGTCATTTATTTTCTCCTGGAACTTTATTTCCTCCTTCTAGTAACTTTGGGCTTTGTTTGTTGTTCTTTTTCCATTTCTGTTAGGCAAAGGATCATAATGTTTATTTGAGATTTTTTTGTTGTCGTTTCTTGATGTAGGCCTGCATTGCTATAAACTTCCCTCTTAGAACTGTTCTTGTGAGGAGTG